ACCTTACCCCACGAGCTCACCGACGGCGAGGGCGGTAGTGTGCACCTTACGGTGTAGTGTAGTTTCGTTTGGGTTGGAGGGCACGGGACTCGGGGCGGAAATAAGTCTCGAGTCTCGGCGACACTTACGCAGTACACTGGACGAGCTTGAGTTGAGAAGTTGAGATGGCGGGGAGGCAAACGCCCAAAGCTGGCGGCTGGGAATGCCCTTGGAGCGACAGCGACCGAGGGCACACGGGGGATGGCCCGCCCCGCCATGAACGAGTGAGAAAGATCAGAGGACGAGACCGGACAGGAGTGTACCGTAGAAAAGTCAGGCCTGGTCGTATGAGTAAGAAGGCAAAAGTAATAAGTTTGCTGTTATCGACGGAGAAAGGCAGGGGTGACGCTGGATGTCACTGTCGAATGAATTGCGGCGCACAGAGACTGGTCGTGTTTGGTTGACAATTTCACGTTGCGAATGGGAAACAGCGATGGCGGGTGGACATTGACCCGGGGTCGATGAGAAAACGGGACAATGACCGCGAGTGGTAAGAGGGCCCAATGATGTTACAAGATATGGTACCGGTAAGTGCCTTCCCTCACAAAACAACCTCAGATTTGAGAGTTGGTTTGTTGGAAGGAATGGTGGAGGGAATGGAAGGAGACACCCCGTGACCCGACGATGGGAGGGAAAGAAGCGACTTGGACGGGAAGCATCGATGGCGACCGAAGACGAAGGAGCACTGGCTGGAGCAGCAGGAAGGACCAGGGAGCAGACAGACGGCCCAGAAAGTGGGTCTTGAATGCACCTGCCCCAACCTGGATCTAGCGCAGCGGCTGTCGGTACGTACTTGCGGGTCAAGACGGCTCAGCTTAGTTGGAACGTGCACCTCAGTCACCTAGTGGTCCGTGTCACTGGTCAGTGTGGCCCGTGGAGTGAGGCGGGGCCAACGGTCGCCTCTCGATCCATGTCTTTTTCTTTTCTTCTTCTCGACCTTGACTCTCCTCCACCACGTTTTCTTGCCATGCCTTTTGTGCTTTCTAGCCCAAAACGCTCAGACTGCCTACACACAGAGCGATATCCATACATTACACATTACGGTACCAACGCTTCACATTATCCACTCAGTCCCAGCCCTAGGCCCCCCATAGCCTCTCGACACCTGGTCATTTCTAACTCTATGGAACAATACGATCCACTTTGCCCACTCGAAAAGTGCCGGATGGGAGCCCTCACACGTTCAACCAGGTCTCGTTATGGCTTCGTATCTGCCTCTCGACAAAGTACCTGCCTCTGTTCTATCCTGCCTTTCCCCTGCGTCTCTCTCCACCGTGTCTGAAGACTATCACCGTCCAACCGCCTGCTACCGAGCAAGACAATTCAGAACCGCTTGATTCACCAGCGTCGTCAACTGTCGTCAACATGTCATCCATCAATGATCCACTGCATGTCTCACTTCCACGCTGTCCGAGAGGACAGGTTTCTGCATGTCTCGCTCTTGTGCCACCCTCCCTGTTGATCGCCCACGCTACCGCTACGCTTGTCACATACGCCCCACCCTTCCTCCAATGCCCGGCGCTTGTTTGGCGACATCTCCAGATTGCCTCGGCGCTTCATCCTTGATGACCATGAGCTTTCTTCGGCTAGAATTCCCTCGACCCTCGAGATGGTGTGGACGGCTCGGGCGGGCACAAGCCTCGAAAGAGACACAGACCAAGCTCACAATCGTACCGAGAGACTATCATCGACTTTTCATGCCATCTATCATCTATCAACAAACATACTCTGCCCCTAATCACAGAGAATGTTACTGAACCGGCTTGATGGGCATTGCGGCACCACGTTGATTTGCTCTCAACTCTCCGGGCCTACTCCTCGCGAAAACCAACAGGGAAACATCGGTTGGAACGCTCAGTCCTCAAAGCAACTCGATCGAGACGCTCGCAGGAGGATCGACGCAGGCCCCCGCGGCGAGGTAGTAGCAAACTTCCACTGGACGCCATACATGGCCATGATAGATGACTGCAGCGAAAAGCCTCAACGACGCGTCGTCGAACCAACGACCAGGAAGCGCCACCAACAATCAGACGCGCTTTCACGTCTGTTCGTAAGTCGAGTTAGGATTCATTGAGGGTGTCGTCAAACTTGGTGAACCGGACCCTCGGCCTACTAAGCTAATAGGAGATGGATGGTACGGCACACCCTCGAAGCCTCCTTTATCCAAGATAGTCCCAAAAGATCCGGGCAAGGTGGACCGACGGATTCGAACTATTCTCCCAATTGTTATATTCTCCGGCACAACAGGCAATGATACGCTCACCAGTGGCCCACCGTCCTTGCAATCTCACCCACGACCCGGTCGTCTGATACGGCCCGTTGCCCGCAGAGTCAGCTTCACAGCCTGCCTATCCGTGGGGTGACTTGGGGGTGAGAGTCGGCTCGATACGGCAGTCTGGTGATGGAAGACATTTGGAAGTCTTCCATTCGCAGACAGTGCAACGCTCCAACCCATCTTCAAGGCCCTTGTTCCAGGGCAAACTAGAGTTTGATATTGTCTCATTCAAAGTCCAGATCCGCTCGAGCAACGACCATCGCCCCCGTCGGCCGCGTATAGCATCCAACCAATATTGGAAGAGGAGTATTGCTATTCTCCTCGTCCGGGGTCTGGAGCATTCTCAATTGTATGATTGGCTCTATTCGAAATGGACTTCTGGGCAGGAAGGGGCGCGATCCCTCTTCCCGTCCTTCATTGGCCTTTTAATGGACAATTTGGGCCAATCACCTGGCTGACCCATCACAATCTCCCACCACCAAAACTTTGGTCCCTGAAGGTCCATTTCCCCCTCATGCATGTCTCTCCTTACCCGCATCTCCCGGAAACGGTCCATCACCAATCGTCTACTTTGACTCCACGACCGAATGTCTCTTTCAAGATGATTATGCTGAAAAGAGATGATACTGGCGTCATGAGTCTTAGTCAGAGATGATATCTCATCTTGACTTTTAGGCCGGCCCCGAACGTTTCCCCCGCAACGGGCTGCCAATGTCTCGGAGCCTACGCTTGCAAGGAAAATGACAACTCCTGTCGCACACATTGACGAGTACGGCGCGGATAATGAGCAGCATAAACAATTATGATGTCCAAAAGAAACGTCAACAAGTGATACTCGACGAGCTTACCATCAAAATCCGCATGTCGCCAGGCCAGCAATCGGCTTCTAACCAACATTGGGTGCATGATTTGCGGCATGCTGGATACGACGAGAATAGCAACATGGCCTTCTCCCCCATGGCCTAGAGGCTAGGTCGACCCCTCAACCGATAACCAAAGCGGCGCGGTATCTGGGCGATACAATCGGCCAGCCAAATCAAACGCGGCATCGAAGGCTCTCTACGAGTACTGGTCGACTGGGATCACGGATTTGCTGTTCAAGGAGCCATGATCCTTTAGGCAACATGCTCAGTAACGACAAGCGCAAATGGAGACACAGCGGCCATACCAGAGCAGCTGAAACCTGCAGCTCGACTGTGGCGACTATCATGCGCTGGCCGCGTCTAAACTGGACTGAACCAAGGCCTGGTATCCGTAAATGGGTTGCGATTGCGGCTGCGTCGTATGCCGCAAGGTCAAGGCCAAGTTGCTGCCGAAGCGAGACGGCGGCCCTGCCAGAGGTGCAGGAGCAATTCCGCAACGGCGTCTTTGGTGGCGCTGAAAGGTACTGTGGTGAGGCAACCAGCCCGCAAACGAGCATGCAAAACCTGCAAAACCTGCACTCCGCCACACGCCTCATCCGGATCCCATGCCATCACTGGGTCGTGAGGCTGGTGACGTGGCACTTGAGTCCGGCGAAGCGGGTCTCGGGTGGCTCAGTGCCAGCGGAGCGCGGCTTTCGGTTGCAATTTATGAGTCTGTGCCACTCACAGATACCCTTGCACCCGTTTGCTTCTGTGGCTTGTTCCCGGTCTTGGGGAATCGCAGATCTCTGGGTTTTGCACGGTCGCAAGTCTACAACCATCGCCATGTCACCGGTACTTGCGGCGGTGAAGCCAGGATCGTCTCGCTGACTCCGAAGACAACGCAGCATCTGGATGTTCAATGTTCCAACAAAATGAATCCACCATATTGACACGGATATCGAGTCACAAGTCGACGGTCTCTAGGAGCGAGCCCGAGCAATGATGAAGTCACCCGGGGTCTTCGCTCGCTTCCAGGACTGGAACCAACGACGAGCCCACCAGTGGCCCCTGTTCCCTCTCCAATCGTAGCCGCCAAAGATCCCGCGACCAGGGGCCTATTCAAGTAGACAGGGGTTTCGGCATTTCCATTGGCTTGGGTCCGATGAGACAGCAGGGGTGCGCAGACTGCACTCTGAGTCTAGTGAGTAACGTGATGAAGGCTAGGTGCGAGCGCCCACAGCTTTCACACTCCTTCACCGTCACGGCGGTTGTTGGAGGAGAGGAGGTCCAGAATTTTCATATTTACTTTGGCTTCAGCCGAATCTGTCGTCGTTGGACGGGTGGCCGCACAGACGAAGGAGCCAAAGCGAAGAAATTGCCCTTCCGCCCGCACCCGTCATCCACAAGTGGCGCCCGGCGTATTTCCCATAGACGCGGGATTGGCGCGATGGCGGGAAACCAAAGGACCACACACCCTGTCGCTAGAAAGCGCGCCGGGCTTCGTACTAAAAGTCCAAGAGGCCGTTTTGGGGCCTCGCGGGAAGGCTGGGCTGTGCTGAGACATTGGGGCTAGCTAACTAACAATCAGCTGGCCCCAGAGCTTGATGCGTTGGCAGCTTGACTACTTGATGAACTGGTTTTCCCCCAATCGCCTCGACAGAACTTTCTACAGCGACGCAGCCTGTGGTGTCGAGACTCCCCTTACCCTTCTGCGCACAGGCTTCTTGGAGACCCCAGGGCGAACAGAGCTTGCTCGGGAACTAACGTCACCAGAACCACCAACTCGGCACACGCTTGTTGGGTGAGAAGCCCTCTTGACCTCACAGAGAGTCCGGCTGAACTCAAACTGACAGCTCCAAGTGGAGCGTTGGTATCTGGCAGCTGCGAATCGAATAGTTCTTGCAGACTTTTACTTCGTTGGTTGGGGACGATTTTCTATACGGTCGAATGGTGAGAGTATGCCGCGCCATGAGAGGATTCTGAGCCCTGCAGCTCTGCGGCGTGGCTTGATTGAGAAGAGCTGACCAAGGACTAGACTGGCTGATGTTTGTTTCGTTGGACTCTCTAGAGCATATCACCTCGTCATTCGTCTCTCGTCTTTCGATGCTATCGGTTTACCCCTTTTCAAGCTTCCAACTGCGATGCTTTTCATTTAGATGAAGCCGCGCAGGACGCGGCACGACGGCAGTCTTACTTGAGTTCTTACGTCGATGGCTTACTAGGGCTAGATCCCTCGTAGAGCACGGACGACGGAATATTCTGAGTTTGTTGACATTAGTGAGAGACCGTGATGACGCCGTCGATTTGTCTAGCGGCGGGTTTTGGGGGCGCCGGCTATTTGGCTTATGCGTAGCTTGTCCGTTCGTTTGGGTTGTCGCATTGACGGATGTCGATGTTTGGTTTGCCTTAGGGCTTACGATGGCGCCGGGATGTTGGAAGTGCTTGGCTTTAAGTGAGATACTACATCTTTGTGGACAAGGCGAGTTGAGACTGGTCGTCCGAGACATCTGTAGGGCCCTTATGAACTTGGGTCTCTGCGTTCCTTTCTCTTGATAATCTAGTGTTTAGTGTGAGACCATCGTAGATGATGGAGTTTGACGATATCTCTACCTATGTAAGAACCTCTCGCCCTGGGCAGCAAAGTAAGCTCCGCAAGATCGAGTTCGCACTTGACTCCTTACCCATCATCGGACGTCGGTTATAGTCTATATAAGTCGATGAGATCCTCGCATTGTCGATTGGAATGGAGTTTCTACCGAAGGATGTGCCGGCTCGTTCTTCTTGCCCTTCCATTCGCTCTTCTTGATTTCTGCATCGTCGAGGGTGACACCTTTAGCTCGCTAGGCGGGTGTTCACAAGCCCGAAGGACAGTAGCTGAAAGAACGTGATCTATCTCTTTGCCTCGTCGGTCCTCGTTCACGTATTCGTGAGAGATCGTGTTTAAGACGGGAGATGAGCGGTTCTTATTATGTGAAAGTGAAATTTGCATCAAAGTAATGTAATGGTTGGGCTCAAGGAGCTGTTAGTTCCTTTGTCCAGTGCTTATGCTCTTGTGCGGTTTCCTAGCATTCCCGCGGTACTACCATGGTCGTTACCACAGTTTCTAGGCTATGGCTTTGATTCCACGATGTCGGGTGCTCTTTATAGGGAGCGGCATCGCTAGGGCGTTGTATATGACGGATGCTGATCATGTACCTTCCACATTAGTAGCATATCTTGATGGATCGTGTGGACTAAGAAGGCTTGTCTAAGTGATCTCGAACACTATGTGCTCAGAGACGAGGGCGAGAGGGCGAGAGGGCGAGAAGACGGCACACAGTGTCGTACATTAGTTCTATTGCTATTGTTTTATTAGAGGTGTTCTACTCCCTGGTCTCTAATAGACCAGAAATGAGTGTGGGCTTCGCGACGATACTATCCAAGCGTTCGACTTCATGGGTCGTACATCACCTCATCATCCCCTTGAGGCCTAAATTCTCAGCAGTCCCTGGCTCTCCCTTCTTAACGTGGGATTTCGAGGATTCTGCGGGATATAGACCCTTGCCGATCGATAAAGCGCGAGGGAAGAAGACGGACGTATAGAATATGGGTTGATGCCATGGTACAGCGAATTACCTGAGGATGAGTCGCACTGCCCATGCCGTGTAGTCACTGTGACTGCGGCCAAGTTTCATGACAAGGGCATTCAATACCTCATTGACCCTGCCAGAAGATTGTAGTCTAGATGCAAGTTTGCGGCTGTTTATATAGATGTATCTCCCGCTGATCTACGAGGACTTAGGTGTTAGATCTGGCCGGGTAAACGCATTACCTGCCCGTTATCAAAGGAAGTCGATGGATCAGGGCAGCTGGACTGTCTGGAAAGCATGAAATAGTTACTCTGAGAATTGACGATGCCGAGAGAGATCATATTTATAGCTATCTACCTCGCGTCAAAGGCCAGGCTCTCGATGGATACGAGGAGGACGTCGACTATGCCGATGGTAAGGAGGACGTATCAGAAGCGCGACAGCTATGAGGAACTTTTCCGCGCGTATAGACCTTGACTCATACGGCAATGAGTTCAAACTAGGTGCCGCCGACTAACAGCTTCTGGTTCAGAGGCCGAGACAGACTCACTTGAGGCGTCTCCATGAGAACAGCGTCGAAGCTTGGGGTCAACGCAGGAGCCTCAAGATAAATTTCACTTCTTTGATCCGGAAAGCAGCTGTCATAGACAGGTCCCTCTCGGATATTGCGGTCACTTTCGCAATCGACAGATGGACTATCCACTGCCTTGTCTTCGCGTCTCGGAAACCATCATAGCCTCTTGCCAAGAACACTCAATCCCCAAAGTAGGGTTAATAACGGTGTAGACGTACGATTGACTCACTTAGCACGAGAAAGGTTATACATGTTGTATTGCCTCTAGACCTTGGGATCAGGACCCAAGTCAAACGTGCAACACAGAAGATCGACAGGGAATACGTAAACCCTGGCAGTGATCTGGAGTTGCGATCGTCTCTCTCGCCAACCCCGCCTCCGCATCCCGGGCAAACGCTCGCCGCCTCGCTTCAGATTTACCCCGACATTCACCCCCGTCAATCTCGCTAACACGAGTACGCGGGGAAATTCTTCCACATCGCCGACTTACACAAGCCTGACCTACCAGAACGGGATCGCATGCCAAGAAACACTCACTCGCTCCGTCATGTTGTTGAAATAAGAAAACCACATAGAGCCGCCGTCCGGCACGACATCACAATGGAACACCCATCTCCCTGCGACCTCGCCGTCCTCTGCTCAAGATGGCCCCAATGATGGCACGCCTCCTCCACTTTGCGCTCCTCCTTTTCTCCTCATCCGCCCTACTTGTCTCAACGGCCAGCACTACGGACCCGAATCCAGCTCGGCCATGGGAAGCGTACATCAACAGCCCGTCCACCCGGGCCGTCCTCCCTCAACGGATCCACGCCGTCTCCGGGCCCGCGAACGTGGCGACCTCCGCCGATGACGGGAGCTTCGTCCTCACCCTCCAGCCAGGAGGTCAAGTATCCCTGGACTTTGGCTACGTCGGCGGTCTCCTCTCCATGATGGCAGAATCCAACAATACATCGTCATCACCCAGTAACTCATCAGAGCCGCACTTCTCCCTCGCCTTCGCTGAATCACCCTCCTTCGTCCGTGAGATCTCAGACGATACAGGCGCAACACCAACTCAAGACTACGACAAGGCCCTCAACGTCACAATCCCCGCTTCCTCTTCAACAACCCCCTACGCCTACACCATGCCCAAAGAACGCTTCCGCGGCGGCTTCAAATACCTGACGCTCCACGCCTTCCGCTCCGTAACAATCACCTCGATCATCTGCCACCTAGCCTACTCCCCATCCCAACCAAACCCCTCCCTCTGGGCAGGCCACTTCCATACCCCAGACGACGACCTCCTAACCCGCATCTGGCACGCCGGCGTCTTCACAGCCCAAACCAACATCGCGCCCCCCAACACATCCCGCTGGCTACCTCAAGTTAAACCAGGCTGGGCCTACAACGCGACCCTCGGCGTCGAGGGCCCCATGCTCCTCGACGGCGCGAAGCGGGACCGCGCAGTCTGGCCGGGCGACTTGGGAATCGCGGGCACGACGGCGTACCTAGGTCTCGGCGATGCCGGGTTGGAGTCGGTGTTCTTTGCTCTGGAGACCATGTTTCTTTACCAGAATGCTTCTACGGGCCAGTTACCCTTCGCGGGCCCGACGACTGGCTCTTGGAGACGGGGCGCGAAGAGCGATACGTATCATGCTTGGACATTGATCGCTTGCTTCAACTACGCGATTTTCACTCGCGACGAAGCGTGGGTTGACGGCCGGTGGGGGAACATCACAGCGGGCGCGAGTTATATCCTCCGCGCCATCGACGCCAGCAGCGGCATAGGCCTTGCAGAGCAAGTCGAGACAAACGACTGGGCTCGTCTCGGCGGGGGAGGGTACAACAGCGCCCTCAACGCCTTGAACTACCATGCCCTCTCTTCCCTCGCCAGCCTTGCCGCCGACACGGCGACAGACTCCAACGACCGCGGAGAGCAGGCAACAACGTGGGCGGCCGCGGCAGCGAGGCTCAAGACGGCGTACAATACCGTCCTCTGGGACGCCTCCGCCTCGCAGTACCGCGACAACGAGACCGCCGCGGGAGCGCTCCTCTTCCCCCAGGACGGCAACGCGCTGGCCTTGCAGTATAACCTCACCACATCCCCCGCCCAAGCCTCCTCCCTCTCCGCGGCACTACTACGCAACTGGAACGCCATCGGGCCCGTCACGCCCGAGCTACCGGACACAATCTCCCCCTTTATCTCCTCCATCGAAGTCCTCGCGCATTTCGCCGCGCGGAAACCCCGTCGCGGGCTGCGGCTGATGCGCCGCACGTGGGGCTACATGCTCGACTCCCCGCTCATGACGGGCACCACGCTCGTGGAGGGGATGAGCGCCAACGGGTCGTTGTATTACCGCTCGCAGCGGGGGTATAACTACGACGCGGCGTATACTTCGCTCTCGCACAGCTGGTCTACGGGGCCGACGCAGGCTCTTAGCTTCAAGGTTGTCGGGCTTGAGGTTGTTGGGTGGGGAAGGTGGCGGTTCGAGCCGCAGATGGGGGATCTGAGGAGGGCTGAGGCGGGGTGGAGGGATGGGAAGGGGGGTGAGTATGGGGCTGTTGTTGTGGTTGAGGGTGGTGGTGATGGTGATGATGATAGGCAGGGGAGAGAAGGGGTACTGGAGGCGGAGATTCTGACACCTAATGGGACTGAGGGAGTACTTGAGATTCCGTATTGTGAGGTTTTGTTTGTTGATGGGGAGAAGTGGGATGGCGGTCGTCTCCAAGGAGGGCGGACGAAAGTCAGGGGCGAGGGATGTCGAGTCAGTTGTTGAACAGGACTGTACCATGAGCAGTGTGAAGCAATACAGATCTATAATCATGCTTGCACCCAGACAGACTGGAGGATCCTTTGGTTTGCTTATGAGAACACCTGGTAGGGCGGTTGGTTATGGTTCAAACACCACGAATGCTGATAGCCTTCAGGAACTGGCTCCCAGGAGGGGCATATAGATCTACGAGATCTATAGCTGAATCC